AACATCTCCTGGAACATAGTTTCCATGATGTAGGCCAGCATAATACCATAGCTCAATTTCTGCCAACATAAATTGTTGGTAACTACTTATGCTTGCGTAACTATAATAAAATCACCTTGTTAAGCCAAATTCATGAAGTCCCTTCACAAAATTAATCAAAAGTATGAATAGAACCTAAGTGTCTTTCAGTTCAACATTCCCAAGCACTTAGGTAATTCAAAAGTAGGACCTGATTATAAGTTTCACATAAAGTAACATTATGACTTTTTATTCTCTTTAACCCTGCAGGGAAAACAAAAACAAACACAAAAACAAAGCTAAACTCATTAATCAACAGAATTCTCAACTCAGGAAAGCATATCCGAACATTTCCAACAGCACCAAAGAGAAGGCAAAGTCTGATCAAAGTCTGCTAAGAATACCAGAAAGAAAAACACCGCAGATAGTCTCAGAGTGTAGTCCGAACTTGTATCAACTGGTAACTTAAAAAACAACCACATATACAGGTGTGAAATACTAAGAGCTGATAGGCAAAGTTACCAGGAATTGCTCATTGGCATAGAAATACTCCTAGCCATACTAACAGCCAAAGTATTGTATTAAAAATAAATAAATAAATAACCAGAAATAAGCACTCTTATTTAATTCAATGTCAGACTGTGAAAGTCCACTCTCATTTGTCAATTTTTCAAGTTTTTTCACAACCTTTAGAGGAGACAAAGCTGATACCTCGGGAGAAAATTTCACCTTCTTACGCAGAGAGAACTCAAGTAATTAAATATGTAGCATCAGTACCCCTGGACCTTAAGAGTTATAAATACAAATAAATACACCCTAAGCAGCATTGCAAAGAGGCTTCCTGGTGTATTTTTGCTTCTTAAATTGATTTTTATTGAAATTCAATACTTGCTACAAAAGAGATCTTAACAAAATACCCTTCAGAGCTGAGAGACAGCAGTTTTGCCTAAGTGCACTGCTGCTCTCTGGTGGGCCTCATCAGATCTTCTTCCTTATTAGTACGCCACCAAGCAGACCCTGGTGGAGCTGCACCTCAAAGATCATCAGGACTGCTTTGGGAGCTTGAAATTTAAAAATAAATGCAGCAAGCTATTGGTACTTACAAAAACAATAATAATTCATCACCTTAAAATCCTTGAATGGTGCAGCAGTTTGTTCCTTCCTCCACGACCTGATGCAGGAGATCCCAAAAATGATTTTCAGCACCAACAGCAGAGCGTCCTGTGTGACAACAAAATATTCTGAGAACCAAAACAAAAGTCAAGCGGTAACTTTTATAAGCAAAAATGTCTACAGCTCTGCATGGTGTCACTGCAGGGCTACTGCAGCTCCTAAGGTATGAAGCATATGTAGTGCCTTCTAAGGTATGAAGCATATATATGAAGTCACATAGGATCTTTTTCACTGGAATTAAATTAAGGCTAAGTCAAGCTGTCAGACACACTCCTGCTTTTGATTTCACTTTACAACCAGATCATGGGGCCATGTGCATATTCCAGTTACTGAAGCTTACTGAGTTGCTTTGTGTAAGCAAAGTTCTCACTGGCAGAAAGCGCAGGATTTAGTGCGCAATAAGTGTGAGGTAAAACATACAGCTTAATCCTCAGCACAGAATTTGCATACAGTAATTACAGTTTTCAGGTGTACCAAAATGCACACAGGTTCAGGTACTGCAGCTCAGCTGAGCAGCAGCACGCTGGCCTGTAATAAGCCTAACCCAGCATCTGAAGCACAAATCCCTGTGTGATTAGCAAAGCGCGCTTGTTTTCTTTTGGCTGTTGCTGTGTTTTGTTTTTTAAATATATATAATAATATTCTAATGCAATTCACAATTATATTTCAAATTTTACTAGCAAATAAACTAAGTATAGCCCTACATGCATGTGTTTAATGGACTACCCAGAAAATACAACCACAGCAAATGAGGGACAGAACTTGAGGGCAGGCTGCATTCTGCAGTCCAGTCCAAGATCTGGCCTGAGAAGAGCAGCACTCAATGGCAACCAGCTCAAGCTCAGCCAACTACATCCATCCAAAATAGATATAACTGAACATGCAGCAGTTCTCAAACTGAAATTCCCCTCATCCTTTTCAGTCATTGAACTTCATGGAAGTTAACGCTGTTGGACCACCATAAATGCAACTCTTATATACCTGAGTACAGCCTACAACACCCTCAGAACTAGGAAATCCTTAATAGTGTGCCCAGGTTTTAGGAACACAGTTCAAGGGAACCTTGTGTATCCCACCATAAGGGTACAAATGAGCAAGTAAGAATGATTGGGCCTAGAAGTTGCCACCTAAAGGAATTGGCATTCTTCAGCCACTGTTTAATCTAGAGACTTTAGTGAGACACCATCATCAATTTCCAAATATCTAATACGGTTGCAGAGATAAAGGGAATAAATTGTTGTCTATATATAAGGCAGAGGAAGAAGCAGCGATTCAAATTGCAGCAATAAGCGTTCAGGTAACAGATCAGAAAAACGTTTTAGGTAATGTCTTAATAAAAAAAGAGGTCTTAATAACACGGACCAGGCAAACGATTGCTAAAGATCAATGGAAGCATGATATGTGTACATGTAGAGGGAGTATTTTACTTTATATATTTTATTTGCACACATATATAGACACAGAGAGCAACCCAGTGACCTATGAAATCTCTTCCAGTCTATTCATATGTACAAGCTTCCATAAAAAGCTTGCAGTACAAGTGAAAAAACAGATCATTTAGCATACTTCTCCCCTGATGGAAATCTTACTTCAGTGGAGTCCAACTCACAGCTTACAAACAGCACATTGGCCACAGAACCTTCAGCATTGCTCACAAGCACCAGAAATTAAAAAGCTGAAACCAGGCCAACAGAACAAGCAGGTATAACAAACACTGTTTGTAAAATGTTTGACATTCTGAATTACTACCTACCAGCCAGGAAACAATAGAGAGAATGGTATTCCTAGACTCTTGTTTACTGGTGTATCAAGCACCAAATTTACATCAAGTATCAACACCATGTAAACCATACTGGTTCCAGTCTTCACCAGCCACAGTATTAGTAACAGATTGGCTCACAGAGAGGGCTGCTTATGCAGATATCTACAAGGTCTTCTATTCTACTCCTGCTATTGCACGAAGTTCAGAATTATCTCGTGAAAGCTGAAAATCAGTATCACCACTATGAAAAACAGACACAACCAATGAAAAGATGCCTCAGAACCAGACCATGCTGGTCATCTACCTTCTAAGGGCAAAGAAATAGTGCTCACAAACTATACAAGCTGCATGTAAGCTTTCCACCTGCTCCCACTCTCAAAAGCATGCTTTCTTTGGCCACTTAAATCCACGCATTTTGGGAACTTAAACTTCAATTAATTTAAAACACAGACCAGGTGAGTAAGGGACAGATTGAAAGAGCATCTCAAAATTATCCTCACAAGTATGCGCAGTAAGCTTGCACAAGGCCTAAACATTCAGAGGAAGGAATAAAACTGTATTGCCCATTTACCTGGAGTTGGATTTTACATATTTAAAATTTCAAAGTGACAAAACCAGAACAAAGGGGTTGGAAGGGACCTCTGGAGATCCATCACTTCAGCTTTTAGCAGGTTGCACAGGAAAGCATCCAGGAGGGTGAGAGACTCCAGAGGAGACACCACAGCACGGCCTCTCAGGGCAGCCTGTTCCCATGCTCTGCCACTCCCACAGCAAATCAGTTTTTTTTCTCACGTTCAGATGGAACGTTGCAGTTTGTGCCCATTGCTCCTTGTCCTGTCGCTGGGCACCACCAAAAAGAGCCCAGCCCTATCCTCTCAGCACCTGCCCATTAGATACCTGTAAGCATTGAGAAGCTGCCTTTTCAGTCTTGCCTTCTCTTCCCTGTGCTGAACAGCTCCAGGTCTCTCAGCCTTTAAAACCTACATCTTTTGTTTGGGAGGAAAACAGCCACCACACAGTTTTTCCAGTTGTTTGGGGGTATTTTTTATTCGGTCGGTTTTCACACGTGAGACGCGTTTTGCAGTACCAGCAGCCCCCACTAGAGGGAGGAACACTTGCACCACAGGCTTTTTGACGTTTTGCCGTACAGCAGCAGGGGGAAGAGGGCGGCCGCTACACAAAAGGGCATTAAGAAAAGCTTCAGCAGAGAGATGTTTCCTTACAGTGAACACGAAGCAGCGGCAGCCACAACTGCAAGCTCTGCGGCCTCTGAGCGGCGGAGGTGCCCAGAGCCCACCCTGCTGCTCTCCGCCCCTCACACACTTGCTGCGTGCTTTCCTAGCTCTGATAACGCTACTCAGCTAAGCGCTTTCGGACTAGTAGAAAAAGGCTCAAAACCACGTTTAAGAATTAAGAGGTCCCTGCAGAGCCATTTCGGAATCCGAGAAGCCACAACACCAACCCCACAGCACCTCCACCACCTGAGGGCCACCTTTGCCCGCCCAGCAGCTCTTAATCGCTTTTCCCGCCCAACAGCCCGTGTCCCCGCCCCTCCGCGCAAGAGGCGCGTGCCACGCGGCGGCCTGGCCTTCTGCTATTCGGTGAGGGAGCTGTCCATCGAACGACAGGTAGCGCGCGAGGACCAATCAGACGCGCCTGTCGGGCCGAGCTCTGGCGCTCGGGTGGAAGCAGTGAGGAGCGGTGTTGGTGAGGAACGGGGGGGGGGGCGGTCGGCCGCGGCCTCGCTTCAGGGCACGGCTCGCGGCACCCGTCTCTCGCGGGCCTCGGCCCGCCGGCCGCCAAGAGGTCCCACCGGCCGCGGGAAGTGGCAGGAAGCGGCAGGCCGCCGGCAGCCCCGCGTTCTGTTCCGCTCTCCCGAGCGCGTTGTGCGGGGGTGGTTTGGAGCCGCCTCCGCGGCCGTGCTCGGCGCAGCGGCCGTGCGGAGACGCAGCGGGCGGTGCGCCCGTGCTCGCAGGAGCGGTGCCGGCCGCAGCGCGCTCCCGTCTGGGCTCGGGGCGCCGCCCTGCCCGCTCGGAGGCGCGCCGCCGCCTGGGCCGTGTCAGCGCTTCTGGCCTCCGGCAGGAAGCGAGCGGGCTGCGGCCGGGCACGCGGCTCTGAAGTACGGACCGACGTTTGGCTTACGGACAGAAATGGGGAGAAGGCACGGCGGAGGCAAAGAGAAGCGAGGGTGGGGCTACCGCAGGCGCTGCCACCGCCCCCCTCGGCACCTGAGATCCGACGGCAGTCGTTGGAGCCGCAGGCGAGTGCGGGCCGGGCTGGCCTCGTTTCCTTCTCACTTATTTTAAGCTGTAAAGAGTTACCGTGCTTTCGAGATGGGCTTTTCCTTTAAGCACGGGTCTCGGTAACACGTCCAGAATTCATCTTTTTTTCTGAAAAGAGTTAGAGGCAGACAGGATCAGTAACTGTCTCTAACGTTTTAGCAATAGTTTAGCCTTATAAGATACTATTATCTCTAGTGTTCATTAGAGATTTTAAGCTGAATACTTTTACTGTTCCTTTTCCATTGGTTAGTGAATGGTGATATGGCATATGGTGTGCTTATCACAGACCTGAAAAATAGCGCTGTGTAAATATGACTAACAAACTGTTTTAAAGAGGCTCTGTGCAAGAGACATGTAGGAAAATTGTGAGTCTGACTTGAAGGCAATACTACTTTTTTTTTTTTTTTTTTTTTTTTTTTTTTAAGGCCTGAAGAGGAGGAAGCACAAAGCCCAGTGAATGCAGGCCCCAGCTACAGTGGACATCCTTCTTCTTCCAGTTCAACACAGAACTCTGCAGTTCCAGGTAAGAGATGCCATTTACAGGTCAAAAACCAGCATCTGTATGTTGACTGTATGAAAAACAGAGTAGTGGGTGTGCTAATAGTATGGTGTTAGAGGATGAATATAAGCAGGAAAGTTCACAGGAAAAGATAATATCTGAAAAGGTGATCAAAAAAGATGTAGTAAGTGAAAATCTGGAAAGCAGAACAAAATACACTTTTGGCCCACAAATCCATCTTTTATGTGAAAACTTGTGTGCTTAGCCAAGCTGATATAAACTGAAAAGAAATATTTGTTTCTCTTAAAATCAGTGTTAGGGAAGAATACTAACTTTGTTTCTTTTGTATATATACTTTGAAGGTGTTATAAAATACATCTTCAGTAAAAATATTAAATAAGCAAAGAAAATAAGGCAGTATGTAACAAATGTATAACGTAGATTGAATTATCCAGCCTTTTAAAAGATGTGTTTGTCTTCCACTTTGGGGAAAAAAACAAATGCATTTCTGAGCCTTCAGTACATTTGTCATCTCTAAGATGTAAAATCTGGTTAAATGACCTGTTCATCCACTATTAGAGAGTCAGCTGGCAGAACCAGACTTGATACAGTAGCAGTGCCACTAAAGATGATGCCCCATTTGCACTCTGGTTTTCTGACTCATTAAACATCCCCAGGAAAAGCTGAGCCTGTGGGAACTTGAGTACCTCCACAACAGGGGAGTCCTGAAACACTGCTGGCTCTTAGCAACAGTCAAAGCCAGAGTGTAAGGCTATCTTTTTTGTATATCACCCTTTTCTGATCAAGAGTTTGTGAGCCTGTTGGGAAGTAGTACATATAATCTAAAACATGTATTGCTATGCGAGCTGATTCCACGTACTAAAGCAGTGTGCTTTTGCTCACCTCACTGATAACAGTCACTATATATATATATATATATATTTTTTTTTTTTTTTGAGGTAAATACATATTGGTTGTTTGTTGCCAACCTGTAAGGGATGATGACAGTGAGCTGAATTGCAAGTAACATCAAACACAATTTGTAGTAGTAGATAAAGGTTTAAATAAAAATTCTTGAAGACCTTAATGTTCACCTTTTCTGAAGTAAAATTCTTTGTCTTGAGACAGCATACTGTTATCTTGCCTCTGTCCTCAGTTCCTCTTCGGGAGGAGCCCCTGTATATTGTCTAATTGTACTCTTGCTTATATCAAGATCTCTCCTTGGTGGTGAAGAAAAAATGGTTGGTTCTGGGCAGGGAATTGCTTTGTATTTGGTTGGGGTGACACTTAGTTGCCTTGTTTGTTTGAGACCACCCTAAGTAGCCATAACCTATAGCAGCCCCTCATGATTGATTCATAAAGAAAGGTCATTTTTGTTATACAGCAAAACCTTTCTGCTTCTCTGAAGTGTGAAATTCACTTTGGTCACTGGTAGCATCCCTTCTGCATCTGTGTAGCAGCATTGTAGTTGCCAACTAGAAACTTTTCCTTTAAGGAGATGCCATCTGTTCCCAGTAAGCATAGCATCCATGGCACCAACAGGGGGCAAGAACTACGAACTGTGTGACTGACATTTCCATGAGGATATAGGATGTCAAAGAGTAATGAATAAACTTGGTTGTCTGTCTGATTTTTCTTCTTTTTTTTTTTTGGCACTTTAAGAACTGCCAGGATTTTACTATGACCCAGAAAAAAACCGCTATTTTCGCCTCCTGCCTGGACATAACAACTACAACCCGCTCACCAAGGAGAGCATTCAGTACAAGGCTATGGAGAGTAAGAGACTGAAACTCTTAGAAGAGGAAGAACAACAAAAGAGGGTATGTTCTGAAAAAGATTGTAATCAGCCTTTAGCATGCTCTGTCTTGGGACAGATGAGCTGAAGCCCTTCAGTTTTTTCCTATGGTACAATCCCATAAGCTACGTGAAGAAACAGAAGTTTCTTTTTGCTGAGAATTCGTAGCTCTTGAAATCTCTTGGTTGGTTTTTTCATGCAGGAAGGAAAGCAAGTCACTAAGCAGACAAACAAAAAAGCTTGTAAGGAGGTGAACTCTCAGATTAGCAAGTTGTCTAACAGTTGCACTTCAGTCATGACATTGGGTGCCTGGTTTCAAATCCCTGCTTTGAATTGGCAAAGTGGGATGTCATTTGTAGGCTTTCTGTACTTTTGTATGCCTAAACCATGAGGAAAAGATTTGTTATTCTATAACTCTGCACAGCTCTCTGTCCTTTGCTCTCCCTAGTATTTATGAGGTGTTCATATGAAATCTTAGAAAGGGATGAATGGAAAAGTTGTTTCACACTGCTGTAAGACACTGTATAATCAGTGAACGTTAAGATGCTATAATTATGAAATAAAAGAAAGTTTGGCAAAGCAGATAACAATAACAAAAAGAGAATAGATAGAAAGCTTACCTGTATCCTGGACTCACTTACAAAACTCCAGAAGAGATCATTTCCCACTGGTAGCCACCTCTTAAATGGGTCTAGGAGAGGTGGAGCCTGGCTCCACCCCTTCCAGCAGCGCAGGTGAATTGCCTTCAGCTGTGCTCCCATGGCTGACTCATGGCTCACCTCAGGTGATCAGTCAGAGCTTCAGGCTGTGACTCAGCAGTTCTCACACAGACACACAGTGGTAGTCCTGCAGTAATAGAGTTTTGCTATGTAATCAGACTTAGTGTGTTAGAGTGAAAGTGATTTCACACCTTAAGGTGATACTGTTGATGGTATGAAGTAAAAAAAGAGCTATCTGTACTTCAGCAGACCTGGGAGATGGTGCTGGAATGTGCTTTGTAGAACTGAAACATTATTATACGTAGGCTAGAGGAAAAAGTTACGCAAATATCCCAAACATCAAAGACCCACAGCCATGTTCGAATCATAAACAAGCCAAAAACTGAGTACATTTTCATCCTATTCTATTCCAGAAAACAACAAGGGCTGGACTGAACTCATCTGTGCTGTTACAGAAAAGGCAGCTAGGTTTGCTCAGCTCCACAAGTTATTGCAGGTACAATGATTTGAATTGTCTTCTGTTTGCTGTATCAAGTACTGCTGTCAGTACAACCATTGCTGTCAGTTTTGTTTGTTTGCAATTCTCACTTTTCCATAAGGACAGAGTGACATTATTTATACTGACAACAAAGCAGTATTTTTTAATAATCCAATTTCTAAAGTGATGAGAATTCTAATGTGAAAGATGCTTCCCAGTCTCAGATGCCAGGGGTTTAAAACTTGCCATTTTTTTTTAGTATTTGCTCTGTTGCTACGTTGTTCTGTTTGAATACAGTATAGCATTTCTTTGGATCAATGCCCTGGGCTGACAGGGACATTTTCCCCTGGGTTAGAATCTGTGTTCAGATTCAGTAACAATGTAGGAAGCAAGTTAGGGGCTTGCTATGTTCCTGCTACTGAAGGTGTGTGGCGGTTCTCAGTGATGGGGTGAAATACCATGGATGTGGAATGTGCTGTACTGTTTCGTGGGATATATAAATGAAATTGCAGCATGCTACTTTTCAGGCATTTTATCTTCTGTGATTAAAGAAGCAGTTCTGGCTGTCTTATCCAGAATTCTTTTCATTGGCATTTAACCTAGGCTTACCCAAGTTCTTTCTCTCCTTCCTCACCGACTGTTTTACAGGCTGGTCCATGAACTAAAAGTGAACTGCATGCAGAGGAGGAAGATAGAAATTCACAGTCCAGATTCCTCAGTTGCTGGAACCAACAATTTTAAAATAATTGTGGTATGTTACAAGAACTGATATATCTTTACAAAGATTAAAAAGAGCCTGTCTTCAGTGAAGATTGAGAATCTTTTAATCAAACCTCATGGGTGAAATTTGCTTTCAAATCTGCCTTGTTCCCATTGTGTCAGTTCTCCAAATATGAGCTAAGTAGTTTTGAACAGGTAGGAAGAGACTGTTCCTTTCCTAGAGAGGAAAATGATGAAAAGATTGGATATGTAAGTGATTTTTGGAGCTGACCAGTGTATTCTATTGGGAATAAACAGGAATCAAGTGAATAATTACTGCAGTGGCTTTTTGAATGGGAAAATTAGGAAAATAAAAGAGGAATCTGGGGAGTAACCATTTTGTGGTCTAGAGATTTTGTATAATCATCAGTAATGATTTTACATCTCATGCTATAAAGGCAATTTCTACTGTTTTTGGTTGCAGTGTGTATACAGGAAAGATCAATGGAGCAAGTAGCTTCCATTTGTCCATGTAGAAAGATCTGCAGGAGAGAGAAACAGAGCACTGCATAGATAAGCTGAAGCCAAAAGGGAGCTGGAAACCTACTGTCACAAATAAAAGTTGAAGTACAGCACCATCATTTTGTTGCGATTTGATCCTACCCAAGGAGAATCTCCACAGTTGTGTGGTGTAGCAGAATTGCATATCCACTTTTTATAAGATTTCCTTCTGTCTTTAAGTGCTCTACTGATACCAGTCTGTGCTTAATAATTAACCAGAGCAAGTGTCTGGTATAATCGGAAAGACTGTGTATTGTTGGCTAAGGATGAAATATTTTCTTACTGATATTTTTTCTTTGCATTCATAAAAAGAGGCATTGACTGCTGTTTTAAAGATGAATAGAAAGTTGATGTTGCTGGCATCAGAATTAGCACATTTCTTCCTTTTAGACAAAACGCAGCCACCTCGAGCCATCGTTTTCAATCAGTTTCCACTAAGTGCAACAGTGCTTCTGTTTTACAGGCAGACGTTGCTTGTGAGCGGATATTTACTGTGAACGACGTGGAGCATGGAGGATGTAAATACGGTATCATCAACCTCAGCGGTTTGGGGAAGGAGTCTCTCGCTGTGGAGATGTATGACAACCTCTACTTCACCAACCGCAAAGTACTGTGTTCTGTTCCTGCTTCCTTCCTTTTCATTCACAAACACTATTGCTGGGGAGGCACAGGTGAAAAGCATGAGGGCTGGGAAAGGGTTTAGTAGGAGAGAATGGGAGAATCTAGCAGTGTGATGTTTGGATAAACACAAAATTGCAGTAGACTCGTCTCTGATAGTCTGAGTACCAGCAGTAGTTCTCCAGAATGCTGTGCTACTATTGGAACAGAAGACCACACTGAAGTACCACCTTTCAAAGATAGTGCTTACTTCAGAGTTGTGTGTAGCCACAGCTGACAAAACTGTGTTGAGAAAGACACAGATTTATATGCTTCTTTCTTAAAGATAATTTTGGAAAAATGCATTTTTCCCTGAACAGGAAGAATATTTAGAACAGGCTTTGATAATCTCTTCATGTTCAGATCTTTTAAGGATGATCCTTTAAATAATAGGATGTGCTTGATGGCTCAGTCTGTATCTGGACGGACATCTCAATGCTTCCCTCTCTCCTGTGCATCTAAGAGGAGTATAAGGCTAAAATGAAGTATCTGTATGTCACTGCTGTGCTATTTCGTGGGCTATGGAAGTGTGCCCACTGCAGTTTCACATCATCTTTGCATGGAAATACCCATTCATGAATTGAGTATGAGGTCTACAAAAATAGCATGTCTTCTTGTGTCTGAAGGTGAATTCTGTGTGCTGGGCGTCATTGACTCATCCAGACTCTCATGTTTTATATCCTTTTAAAAAAGCAAAATTTCAGTTCTGTTTTGACTATCCTGCACAGAGCAGTTGACTTTCAGGAAGACCTCTTATGTAGTAACTGTAAAACTTGATTTCTGGAAAACAGGGAAATTTTAAAAAGATTGGAAGTTGCTGCATGTTGTGAGACAGATGCATGGTGCTGTTACAGATGTGTGTAGTATTGTTCCCATGCAGTAAAAGGCAAAAGACTGCTTTCCCTGCCCTGGAGACTTGCCAGCCCATTAATTGTGCAAGTGCCAAATCAAAAGTGGTCTAATGGTTAGAAATTGATTGGGCAACAACAAAAGGGATTTATGGCAACTAACTTTCTCTTCTAAGAAGTGGAACATTCTGAAGCAGGTTTGGTTGGTTTCTGTTGTAAACCATCCTCATATTGATTGGGGGAAGATGAAAATGGCAGGAATTCATTGGCACTGTGCTCTGCAACTTTGAGAACACGTTCTGCAGATTTGTCTCAAAAGGAAGGCTGATGGTACAGTAGAGGAAGCAGCAGTGGACAAAGCAGAGTCACAGAAGAGAGGAACGAAAGTGGATTTAAAAGTGGGAGATGGCAGGCAACAGAAATGCTATTAAAATGCCATTAAAAGTGGCCAGTAAAAGAGAAAATGAAAAAAAAAGCTTACACCTATGTCATGGCTTATGGGAAAAGCGACACAGTTCAGAACTGGTCCAGAAGGTGGCAGGAATTCATCAGCTTGCTTAGAGATGGTTAGGAGTTGGGGACAGTTAGCTTAATCAGTGCTTTCCCCTACTCACCTCACAGATTTAACCAGCCAAATTTGAAAAGCAGCTTTCAAAACCAGTTTATGCCTGGTATAATTTTTATGAAGTGTTTAATGAAATCTAAATTGACTCTTGAATCCTTAATATGTGTACTGCTTTCTCAAACCCATCTCCATGCAGAACATTTCTGTATCAGTGCAGTGTTATCAGCATGTAAAGATGGAAAGAATGATCCATGTAGGTCCTGCAGGTTTTTCCTATCTGTAGAAAGATGCCTTAGTATCTCTCTCAGCTTATCTTTCTGATAGTGAAGGTACAAAATCTAAAATTGGAGATCTTTCTAGCTCATTCCTATGAAAGAAAGGAGTGTCAAGACCTAATTGTAAAGTGTAAGGCACAATAACATTCTTGGAAGATGTTAAAAAAGGGAAAGTGTTGAGAGTTACAGCTGTATCAGACCATCTTACCCTTCCCAGCTATAAATACTATGCAGCCTTTTCCATTTTAGGAAGAAATCTTTGTTTTCCTTAACTCACTCCAGCACGCTGTGTCTCATGGGAATTGCAGAAACTCCAGGCTGTGCCAGTCTGCTTCCAGCATCATTGTTCAGCAGCACTAATCCAGGTAGGGTGTTGTTTGGTTTTTTTTCCCCAGTTTTGGATAACAGGATGTGCAAAGAGTACAAATCATGTCCACATTTCAGTAGTTGATGGGACTGTTGTGTTATCATAAAAATGTAGCAAGTTTGAAGCAGAATAAGAAACAAACAGATTAAATAACTTACCTTGATAATTAATTAACAGACAGTATTCAAAGCTCTAGTTTATTTTTAACTGTTGCTGATGTAGTACTTGACTTTGGCAGGAGAACACCTTACTTGAAAGTAAACATTTGAGATTATTCATTTGAGTAGCTTGGCCTTTAACTAACACACAGAAGCTGCACATAAGAAATACTCAGATTTCCTTATAGACTATCCAGTGTCATTGCAGGATACTTCATCGTAGTAGCCACTCGAGCGTGCTCAGTAGATTAATCATAGGTGGAAAGCTGGTAGAAGTCTCACCCCATGGCTCCTTGTACAGTACTAAATATCATTCTTAGTTGTGTGTAAGCATGACTCGTTTAGAGAATCCTATCTTTATAGAACAAAATTATTCTATGTTCTTGGGGGCAGCAGCTGTGCTGATACCTTCAGAACATACTGTACAGTCATCTAACCTGGTGCCCTATTCAGACATGATCAGTTAAGTTTGTACAGATTAGATGTGTGTCTGTGCTAGAAGAGTATGGACCCATTTTAAATGTGTAATGTTATGCTATTTATGGAGCCTTGGGGAAAAGAATAAAGGAGGGATGGGGGAAATGATGCATAGAGTTGGTGTGAACTTGAAAAGTCACTAAAGATGGATGGCTACTAGGCCAGTGTGTGCTCTGTAAAATATTTTAAAGCCTGCACAAATCAGGTGCCCCTAGTTATGCTCAAGTTCTTCTGTCTAGTATTTTCTGCTGACTGTTTTAGGTATTTCTAAGGGTCTTGCCTCACCACAATCTCCTGAATTCTTGTTTTAAGGCAATATTTCTAAATAGATAGTGTGAGCAAAGTAGAACTTAACCCATCTGAAACATGGTTTTAGACATGTCTCCTGTTCTGCCTGATATCTGTAAGGTTGTGGCAGACGTGCCGTAAAAGTGTTTAGTGTAAAAGTGCTATGAAAGTGTTATTTTTCTCTTCCCTGTTTTTTTTCCTGCTACGAAGACTTCAACAGTCTCTCAGATGTGTATATAGACAGATAGAGTGTAAATACTAAGCTTGCAGTCATGAAATCCCACTTTTGTTTCCTACATCTTGAGTAGCACAGGGATATTAACGTTGATTCTGCTTCTAATTGTAATGTTTAAAGTAATGTCCAGAGAAGCTTTCTGTGTTATCCTGTCCTTACATTTCATGGATGTTCCACGTGTGGTTAATTTCTCCTAGGAGATCGACCTGGAATGCTGTGCAACTTCAAGATATCTACGGCCTGGTCCTGTGCTTGGTGCCTGAATCCACAAGCAGACAACTGCTTCAGCACAGGTGATCTGCAAGGCTAGCAACCACTTTTATCTCTGGCAAAGACTTCTTGCATAAATCTCTCACCTGCTACTCAAATCATAACTAAACAAATACAACATCTCCCTTAGGCCTGACACGACGAGTTCTTGTGACCAACGTAGTGACAGGGCACCGACAGACATTTGGAACCAGCAGTGATGTCTTGGCACAACAGTTTGCCACCCAGGTACAAAGAAACATACACCCTTTTTTTTTTTCTTTTTCAGAGCACTGATATCAGTGGTCTTTCTGTACTCATCACGTTGTACAGAAGGTTATGACTACAATTATTGTTCCTTAACAGAGGTGATATGGTCCTATGCTGGCACACAGTGTAACAGCAATGAAAAAATAACTGATTTCAGTCTGTGGCAGCAGGCTAATTTTTGTTAAATATTCATAGATAAAAAGGAAATGATGAAAGTAGAAAGTGCACAGCAATCATGCACTGTAGGAGAGTTTTGTTCTTGCCAAATGACCTGATTTCATTAACACTCAGTTTATTGTCTTCATCAAGAAGAAAACAACTATAAAATTCTAACTGACTTGTAAACAAAGACTTAGGGGGAGGGGTCAAATTGGAACATGAGAATTCCAGTTCTTATTCTGCTGTTACGTTAGAGAAAGTTCCTGCTAACATTGCTGAACTTTTACAACAGAGATAAATAAGTGAGGTTTGAACAGAGCTAATGAGTTAGCTAAAAAAAAGATGTACTAAAAATTCTTATCCTTAGTGCCTGCATTAATGATTTCACAAATGCACCAGAAAGCTCAAAACCTTGGCATAAGTAATTTCTGCAGAACTTGTACGTCCTTTCTCGTGTTGCATACACCTCTTTCTCTTGGATTCTGCCAGACCCCAATGCTGTACAATGGCTGCCGTTCAGGTGAAATTTTCAGCATTGATGTACGTCAACGCAACCGAAAGGGCCAGAACTGGAAAGCAATTCGTCTCTTCCATGACTCAGCAGTTACATCTATTCGCCTTCTCAAGGCAGAACACTACCTTATGGCATCAGATATGGCTGGAAAGGTACAGTTTTATCATCTTTAGGGTATACTGTTCTTTTTCGTATCTGGGCAATAACTGAGTGCTTACCTCAGTCCTGAAGATGGATGCTGGTTCTTTGTGTGGAACTGAGTGGTAATTCCCTGCTTGGGTCATTGCTCCTCACTACTAAGATCCAGTTATTTACCAACAGTTGAGTGATCTCTATTCTGTTAACATGCTTTTGGAACAATTTCTTTAACTTGCAGATAAAACTGTGGGATCTGAGAACAGCAAAGTGTGTGAAACAGTATGAAGGTCATCACAATGAATATGCTATTCTCCCTTTGCATGTAAATGAGGAGGAAGGACTTTTTACAGCAGGTGGGTTGACTTTTTCTCCGTTACTTGTAAGTGCAGATTTATTTTTTTTTTTTTATCCCAGAGGAGTGTTTCTTATCTACAGATGTTGGAAGTTGTAGAGCTGGTAATTCTTTAAAATTCCACAGAAATTTACCTTTAGATGTACTATAATCAGCTACAAAATCTAAAATAAGATGTTACAGATGCACACCTACTGTAATCATTCCCATGGTGCTCTCAACTGCTTTATCCTTAAAGTCCCTTTATCCTTTTCCCAGTGTAGTTTAAGAGTAGAGAAGAAGATACTTCAAAATGAAGGTCAGAGAAGCAATGTATTAACATAATACTCAAAGCAGTATTTTTATACAGAGACTAAAGACCATAAATAGGTTTCTTTGATGCTGAAGTGTGTCAATGGACTAAAGCTTGTAAGGAGAACTCCCTGTAAATTGTCTCACTTGGGCTTGTTATGAATATATGCAGCTGCAGTTTGTTTTTTTTCCAAAAAGGAAACATAATAAAAGAAACAAAATCCCTAAATACTTTTTTTTCTTCATACTTTGACTAGGTTTCTTAAGGTAACTTTAAACATGATCTATTCTCCTTGGATTTCTTAGTAAGTGATGGAATAAGAAGAGTAATTCAATAATTTTAACAAGCTGAGTTTTTCCCCACTTTGTTTTGCTCAGGAGTTTAATAATAAGGAAAGCACTCTCAGCATACCTTTTATTGCCTAATAGGAAATACATATTTTTTTCCTCTTTGCCTGTAAGATATGTCGAAGCAGTCAAGTATTTTCCCCCCATACGCTACTTCAGTCACTGTGATGAAAATCTTGCAGAGCCATAGAAATTATTTCTGGTGTGATGCTGACCACTGATGTCCTTCCTTTCCAGTTGGTCAGGATTGCTACACCAGAATTTGGAGTCTTCAAGATGCCTCTCTGCTTAGAACCATTCCTTCTCCCCACCCATCCTCCAAAGATGCTATTCCCAGTGTGGTGTTTTCTTCGAGACTTGGAGGTAGACGAGGAGTTCCTGGCTTGCTCATGGCTGTCAAACAGGATCTTTACCACTTCTCCTATAACTGACACCACTGATACTCTCTTCTGACCCAGTATATAATGCTGCTAGCCTATACCTGACTTGGGAATGTTTACGCACATGTTGTTGCATAACTACATGCCACGTTTGCATCTGCTTTACCTGAGAAATTCCAAATTTCTGTCAGCAGGTTTGGCAAATCTTGCTGTATACATCTCAGGCATTTAGTTAATAAAAGCTGAATGCTGATTACTATCTTGTTGGCTTTCTCTAGTGCTCTCAAATCCTTGCAAACGTAGGGTCAGCTGCATCCTAGAAGGAGACCAGGCAAGCATCAAGTAGCAGCAACTATTTCAAAGAGAAGCAAGAAAGGGAGGACCTGCACCCTATGCACATGCAGAGGTTAGCGATAGTGATAACTGTCATTACCCTAAAGAGTTACTGTTCTGCCACAGCAGGCTAAGCAGTCCTATTCCTGCACTCAAGGAAAATCTTTACCACCATCCTAAGCATGGTGTAATGATACTGTGTTTCTCAGCAGCATATTCTTCACCTAAAGCTTTTAGCCAGAGGAATCTAAGAAGGAACTGCACCCTACCACCTTCACTGTGATGGGCCATCATTTCCAGTCCCCCCTCACGTTGGTGCATATGCAGGGAAAGCTCTTAAGCTCTAACTGAGGAGAAGGAATACTTGCAGTTGAGCAAACTGTTCAGTCACAAAAAGATTTTTCCCCAGTGGCTGCCTGTGTAAGCTGCAGTGTGAGCACAAGTACTCTCAGTTGTCAGGAATGAGGCACTGGCTTGTGGCATGAACCTTCTAAGCATGCAGTATAGTTGTAGCATTGCAGCCTAGCCCTCCTTATGCAGCCCTGCTAGTGGCCTGAGTTCAATGAGCACACTTAATGAGCAACTCTGGCTTGGCTTTCTCCACAAAGGAACTGAGTTCAAGTAGCTCTGCAGTGCGAGTCCAACAGAAGATTCCCTTCACAAGTGCTATGCAAACTTGAGCCTAGACTGAAGTTTTTAGTTTTTTTTGTTTGCTCACTGATTTTCAGCGCATTTCCCCTTTCAAGTGGACTTGGATAAGGGAATTACATAGAGGTGCCACAACGAGTTCTGCAGGGCTCCACATTCAATTCTCCCATCTTCACACGACCTTCAGGCCTAAGCAATACACTATTCTGGGAAACTGTCTCAGCTCTGTATTGAGCTCCTGTTGCTCAATACACTTAATTTTTCTGCAGTTACCTCCTTCCCTTTATACTTTCTTACCCATTAGTCAATACAGAAGACAAAACGTTGTAGCAGGAAAACTGGCTTCATAGGAGCAGCATGAATATATTCTACAAGAAATATGTATTGCTAGGGTACTTAAGATGCAAGATAAATTCCAGCAAATGCTCAACACAGTTTCTTCCCTGAGTATATGTTCAAAATCCTCTAAATTTTCCTTGTATACCATTAACAGCCAGCTTCCCTTCTCTTGACAGCTCCCCTGATACACCTGGCTTTAGCATTTCTCAGCAGAATATTTTATTCTTTCCTCACAAAGTGGAGCAGATACTGCTTGCAGCACACTATGCTGCCACTTCTTTCTACAGAATACATTTACAAAGCTAAGGGTCTCCTGCTCTCATCAGATGATGAGTCCAACCTCACACTGACTTGCAGGCTTTTCTCAGTTGTTCTGTTTTGGATAAGGGACCAGTTTGGCTACCATGGTCACCAATTCCTGGCTTGCCTTTCTTTTCAATTTGAGAGCATATTCTGCAGCTTATCTTGTTATCTTGGGACATTTTCTGTTGCATGCACAGCAGTCACTACATGTAGCACAAGTTTCAAAAGTATTTGCATTGGCTCTGTTAATAACAAATGCTGCAACTAAGCACCTTTTGAAAGAAGAAAACAGAACTGTAACTAATCTTGTCCCACTGCAAACTCCAGATGTTTGCATCTGACAGTCAACTCAGGGTTGGGCAGGAACATGCTCTATATTGATATTCTTGCTAGCAAATGTATGGGGTTCAAACACTTGCAAGTGGCAAACCACAATGATTATGAACTCCCTTCAGAAGAACTAATTCCAGAATGTCTAAATAGCATTTAAACTCTTCAGTGTTCTTAACACCAGTAGGGTCTGCTCTGCAAGAACAAGACCCTGCAATAATCATGTCCAGTTGCTGTGGGAAACACAAGCTAAGAACTGTGTCAGAGTTATATAACTAAAGAGTTTGTTTTCTTTGCTCCTTTTTAGCCAAAGCCAGCAAAACAAAAAGATACTCATTTGCTTTCTGTTGTTTCCAGGAACCAAATGTGAACTCGTCCCTGCAAACCCTTTTTTTTTAAAAAAAAAAAAAAAAAAAAACCTCAACTAGTGCTTTTGCAGCCAGTGCTTCTAATGAAGCCTGCAAGAACAGCATGAGATGAGAGGGGAGGCAGAGTAAAAAGAGAGCTAATTTGGCTTCAGTAACAAACTGCAAGCAGCACGCAGGCACTGGTTGATATAGTAAAATCAACCGTTTATTTATCATGCAGGAGTAGCTAGGCCCCTAAGGTACCTTAACAAAAATTAACCTGTGCCACCCTGTCTCCAGTTTCAGTATCAAAATATCCTATTTCTTTGCCTCAGGTTCTTTGCAAGCACCACATCTAGTAGAAAGCTTTAGAGAGGCCAACCTTGCATTCCAAGCTAAGCTGTAGTGTGTCTCATCCATCCAGCACAATTTGTTTGGTCCTTTTTGCTCACTGTAACAAAAAGAGCTCAGAGCAGACAACCAGGCTCTTCTCATCTCTCCTCATAGACCACACTTGACTGACAGGTAATAGAGAAAACCTTCAGGGCTGACAAAGAACTGTACTGACATCCCTGAACACTGAGCATCTTTGTGCTTCTCCCACTAGAGCCCACAGTCACCAGCAGCTCTCAGTGCAAATATGCTACATCTTAGAAGAAAAACTCTTCCTCTAGAAAACTTAGCAAGAACAGCTATTGAAGAATGTTCGTGTCCTGAACTAGCTACTGTTGCTTCATACATCCTAGTTACCTGCACTCAAGCAAACACCAGATCGTTTATGCAGTTCAAGGGCTCAGCACCACGCACAGTGAGGCTCAGCAGGCTCCTACAGAAAATGCAAGGCCTAGAAAAATCAAGGTCATGCTGCACTTGTCACCTCCCTCAAGCCAAAGTACAGGGTGTTATTGACCCTTTTCACAGCTGAGCTAACTTTTTTTTTACTTTTGTACAGCCCTTTACTACAGTTCCTTCCTGGTGGGAACTCCCTCTCCAGTTTAAAACAGGATGGGACACAGCTGCCTTGTCTCTCCTTGGTAAAAGAGCAGCAGGATTTTCCTTGTTCCCTCCCTCCAGAGAAAGAACAGCAATTTTTTCTGCTAGGGGAGGACTCCCAGAATGCAAGAGATGAAGAGGAACTGGGCCACCTTTCTGCATTAAGAGCAGAAGTATGACATGGACAACAGCCTTCCTGTTCCACTGCAGTAAAGTACTTTAATAAATGACAAAAAAACTTGCAGATTGCTGGCCCCTCATCACCATGATTGTTTTGGAAACCACAGACTTGTTATACCATATAGCATTGCTCCCATTATCATGCACCTCCACCCTTTAAAAACCCTCTAGGTCACATACAGTGAGCTTAGATCTAACAGGTAGAAACTTCTATTACTCTAAGTTCGTGCCTAAAGCAAGGAGGGCATTCACTCACTTTCAGGTTTTCTGGGCAGCAGTAAGGGATTGTTTTCCTGTTGTCCCCAGTTAACTGAAATACGTGGCTTCATGGCCATCCCTCCTCTACTATCCTGAAGAAAGCCAAAATTAAGAGACTAAGCTAAGCCATTTATCAAAATTCCGCTCTGGCATTTTTACATGTTGAGCTCAATCATGACTTATTCTAATAGCACCAGAAAACAAAGCATTTCTTGCAAAGAAAAGGGAATTTACACCACTATGTGTGCAGTCTTTAGATGTCCTTCTACAGCTCCTTCCAGAAAAGTTATAATATGGTAGCAGACAAATCAGGTTGTGTCCCCAAACCTTGAGCTGCTGGTAACTGATTCGGCTCAGAGAGAGTGCGTGCGTGCAAACAGTCAACATCAACCCAAAAGAACTTGCAAGACAGAGGATTCTGGGGAGAGCAGCTAGGGGTTGAAAGATGGTGGAGCAGAAAGTTTAAAGCATTTTACAACTAGCTTCATGTTTCAAAACCAGAAGCCACGGCACAAAGTAGAGAAACCATCACAGGTGAAGTATGAAAGTGTAATCAAGATCACTTGGCCTTTTCTTGTTTAAACAGCTTTTTTCTATCTGCAGTTCTATCATTCTGATACCACATTAGCTTTCCGATTATCACAGCATACTGCTGATTTTTGAAAGCTCTCATAGTAAGTTCTATTTATTTTGGCATTGCCAGTTGATCTTGCCTGCACTGCGAACAAAAATCTTCTATGACATACGCTGCTATGTGCTGTGCTGACAGAATATACGTGTTGACATTGCTTTACCAAGAAAAAGTGCTCAGCTAAAGCAATAGGGAACAAAAAAACAGACGGCTCAATCGCTTGTCCAAATCACACTGTGTTCTCAAATTACTGGCAAAGGCATATCCGTTAGTGCCAAATTCTATTACAGCCATCAGCGATAAATTAAATGCAAGGACAAAGCCACAGTATGTGACACTGTATCGACTGAAACATCAGTTGACAACAAAATACAAAAGCAAGATGCTGCAAAATCTAAGACAGTAGTACTTAAATCTGCTTATGGATGGTTATACTGGAAGCAAAAGGAGAAAAAGTTTATATCAGCAGGTGGGAAGCTGGAGTCCTGCAAACATTCAAGCCCAGACTCCCCAGATCAGTGAGGGGAACATCTCAGCACAGCCACAGTAGACAGGCAGCCAGAGCAAATGCCAGGTGGACCTAATATCATGAGCATTCATTTCAACAGAAACTATTACTGACATCAAAAGCCAGTGATATCACCACATTTACCAGAACACAACCAAAGCTCCAGTTCCCAAGTGACACAACAGGGAGCGTACGTGATACATTGGCAAGCTTCAGCAAGTGCTACCTCACCTGCAATGAACTGGGCAGGAGAATGAACAAGCACGAAATACAACAGAAAATAATATAAAAGGGTGAAAGACAAAGGTAATTCTTCTTGTACAGGACCCCAGCCGCAGCTACATGTCACAGCTCTGTTATTCGGCCAACTTCTTCCCTTGCTGCAAGTC